AGAAAGAAGAAAAAAAAGAAAGAAAGAAAGAAAGAAAGAAAGAAAGAAAGAAAGAAAGAAAGAAAGAAAGAAAGGGAGAGAGACTTACTGCTATGTGCATCACCAAAGGGCCCAAACACAAGGAAGAACACCACCTACCAAAGACACTTTGTTACCTCTTACAGTTAATAGTCAAGAACAAATAATAGTAACAACAAATAAAAATGACTTGCAAGGGGACCAGACATTAGACATAAACAAGGACAGTATTAACATGAAAGAGAGCGCGTGCCGGGTGTGGCTGTGTGCGTGCTGGCGGCCACAGGGAAGGCCGGGGCCTCCATGAAGGACCTCTGCAATCTGCGTCCCAAGCCCGGACATCTGGAGCCGAGGAGCCAGAGCACGAGCTCCCTCTTTCACCATCAACCAAACAGAATCTGCAATTTCTCAAAGTGACCTCCAGCTCTTGCCCCTGGGGTGTTGTCTTCACACTTCTTTAGGCTCCAAGTCGTGGGTTGGACATGAACTGGAGGAAATGTCTGTTTGCTCATTGAGGAGGAGGATCTGAGGATGAAGGTAGATCCAGCGAGCGTTCTCCCATACTCATCCGCCCAGCCCAGCTCCCTTCTGCCTCTGTTCCTCTCACTCCTGGTTATGGGTTTTGGGGTTTTTTTTTCCTCCTCGCCTCTACCACCTGCTGGCATTTCAAAAACTCTGGGATGTACTCCATGGTGGGCAGTTCTAGTCTGGGCCTTCTAGTTAACATCAAAAAGATCCTGCATTCCCAGTCACTTCTCCCCTGAAAGCTGAGAGACAGGTCCTTTTTCTGTCTCCTTGGTGTGAGGCCAGGTCACAAGCTCCTGGCAGAGCAAGGGTGATGAAATGCCTACACTGGAGGGACCGAAGTAGCATCCTATTTTAATTTATTAGAGAATGAGCCCGAGAACCTTAACAGATGGTATTTCTTCTCATGCCCTTAACTGCCATAGCTGGCGCGTTAAGAGTCTCTCAGAATTAGGTTCCAGATCTATAGGCTATCAACTCAAAGCAACATTCTCCCAGGAGTCAACAATCCTGGGGGGCTTTCCTCTAGATTGGAAATGGTTATTGTTGCCCCACCAGGAAAAAGAAACAAAACCAAAAACCTAACCACTGTACTGATTGGACAAAATCAACTATCTTACAAGTGCTAATAGCATCTATGTGCATTTAATTCCCTAGGTACTTAGCAAACAAGCTGCATTCATTGAAAGCAGTCACAACTTTATCCAGAGAGGCTGGGTCCTGGGTGGCAGAGGAATTCCAAAGGCCAGATCCTCCCGACTGCTCACTTCTCCATTGGCCTTTTAAACACTCAAAAGAAAAGCTCCTACATTGGGTCAAGGGCCATGGATGGTCCCCAATTTTTACCATTCTAGACAAAAAGAGAGAAAGAGGGGGGGGGAATCTCTTAGAAGTATTGCAACTGAATCCTATGAGAAAAATTAGATTAACAAATTATTAACATTACTTCAATTAACAGTATTTGAATACTATTTTTCAAATTAGAACAGTCACTGTTCTAGGTTCCCTGTCCATATTAGCTTATTTGATTTTTATCCTATGAGAGAAAAATCCGTATGTCCATCTCACAGCTGAGAAAACAAACCCAGAGAAGTCGAATACCTTGTCAAAGATCACACAGCTGATAGAAGTAACAGAAGGGCAAGGCTTCAAACCCGGGCTCTAAATCCCATGCTTATTCTACCTCTAAGGGGTTGGTTCTCTTTAGAGATTATGCTTGATGTAAAGCTCTCCCCATCAGGAGGAAAGGAGGTTTGTAATGAGTCTGCTGGTTAAGGTTCACCTTGCGTGGGGCCAGCAGGCACTCCCATAGGACAACCATTCTTGGCTGTTGCCGACTAGACCATGTGTCTGATCCAACATGGCGCTCCTGGTGCAAGTCAACCCCTTGTACACACACGAAACATTATTTAGACTTCCATGACTTAAGAAAACTTTATATGCAAAATAAATCATGGGATTTCAAAATAGAAATAAGCCACGTTTTCCCAGGATGGTCATAGTGTGTTAAGAAATCCTCAGCGGGTGGTGTGCTCGCCGGGGGAAGTCTGCAGAAGTGAAATGTGCACGGAGAACGCGGAGTCTCTGCCCCTATCCTCAGTGATGTGTCTAAAGTCACATAGATGGTCAGTGTTAGGGACCCAAGTGGTGGCCATTTAACAATAGGAGGGAGCAAAAAACAAAAAAAACAATAGGAGGGGGCATCCTCTAATCTTTCTCTTTTGATTGGAAAACAAAAACAAAGAGGCCTGCAGCCAGGACTGGATGACCCAATGGCCCCGTCCCTGCTCTGCCCTGGGCATTCCACTCCCTCCCAAGCCCACTGACTCACCTAGTAGTCAGGGCGGGGCATGCTTCTCCCGTGTGCATAGGGATTCGGTGGCTGACTGGAGACATTTGCCCTGACTTTAGGGAAGATGCTCCCATCTGCTCCGAGATTGCTGAACCCTGTCGTCTGCTGCAGTCTCAGGTTTTGAAAGTCGTTCTCAATCAAGTTCTGTTCTTCAGTATTCTTGTTTTTGTTCTTTTGGCTATAAATGGTAACAAGAATTAGGATCTGACAATGGCAGAAGTTCCTTGACGCAAGTGTTAGTATTCTTTTAAAAAAAGTTTTCAAATTCTGAAATAATTTCAAATTTACATATAAGGTACAAACCAAAAAATTACACAGAGCTTCCATGCGTCCCTCACCGAGATGCCCCAACTGTTAACATTTCTGCACCATTAAGAATAAGTGCTTAGCCCTGATGCCCCACTACCCATAATACTTCACTACTCCGTTCGTGTACATTCCCTAAGTTTTAGGACAGTCTCCTCATAAGCTCTCCATAACCATCAACACCAGAACATTAACACTGATCCAACAATGCCATCCAGTGCTGTTGGTCTCATGCAAATTTTGCTAATAATGTTACTATTCTTAAGTGTGCTTTTGAGTTATATACGGAAGTCAAAGAGAAAAGATGATCTGTGATACAATTTTTCATTCAAGCAAAGTCAATGTCTACAGAAGTGCCTCAGCCAATAAAACAAGTTCAAGGTATAAAGATCTTACAAGGAGAAAAAGGCGTTTCCCAGGGTCTGCTGTAGCCCCTCAAGGACCTCAAGTGTAAGTATTCAAGGCCCAGTAGAAGCGCTTGGAGGTGAGGGAGGTACCCACCCCCGATGAATTCTGACAGTGACCCTTCCTGCCTTCGGGCCCACAGACCTGCCCCGGTAGTGCCCTGGACCGCTGGAGTGCAGACTGGACCGGCTGCATCTGTGATGTCCACAGGGCACTCCCAGGATGACCGTCACCCACCGGAAATGTCCTAAGGGAAGACCCACTCACCCTGTGACCCCGGTAGCCCGCCTAGCCTACAACAGAGTTCTCGCCCTTTGGGAGCACTCCTGTCTAAGGAGAGGAGAAGCGGAGAAGCTTCATTCCCTTTGAAATAGGCAAGAAATTGTCATTCTTAATGTGTTCCCAAGAGTCATGAATCTGAGGCTGAACTAGGAGCAAACCCAGCTCTGCAGCGGGAAGCAGGAGCTGAGAAACATAGCTGTGGTGAGGTCACAAGGTTCCACATGCAGCCCCTGAGGATGCTGGAGACCCAAGACAGTTAGGCAATCCTCCTAAGGAAGGAAGATGCAGCCTTGCTCCAGAACAGAATATTCTGGCCATCTTCCTAGAAAAGGGAAGGTCGTACTTCTAACTCTCAGCTTTGCATCATTATAATAAAGGCTTTGGGGAAGAGTTAATATCGAACTGGAATAAAAAAAAAAGAAGAAGAAGAAAGAAACAAAATCTATTTATCCTCTCACATTATAGTGCAAAATACGTATTTTGCCAAAATATAAGATGAGTGAAATGTTACAAGCAGCTTGTTTTTACCAAAGTGCATCCCACTCAGCACGTTTCTAATGGAATAGAGATAACAGTGTTCTCTCTCCCAGTTAATGGAGGGAACTTTATCTAAATATTTGTTGAATAAATGAAAGGACGCTACTCAAGTTCTTAGGCAGAGCACTTAAGGCACCAAGCCGCGAAATGGCTTTGCGGAGAGAACAAGCCACGGGGCTCAGCTGCAGCCGGTATTAGGCCCGCTGCCGCAGGGTCCTGGGCCCAGGGCCTTGACGAATGATCCTTGACAACATCAGTGGGGTTGAAAACTGCTAACACAGAGTTTCAGTGACATCAGAAAATGGTCGTTATGTCACATTATAGTGTTAAGCAAAAATAAACCTTAACAATATATATACATTTTTTAACACAAAGGGCACCTGAGTGGCTTAGTTGGTTAAGTTTCTGACTCTTGGTTTCAGCTTAGGTCATGATCTCAGGGTCGTGAGATCGAGCCCCAAGTCGGGCTCCGTGCTCTTGGGATTCTTCCTTCTTTTCTCCCCTCCCACCCCCCACACGTGCTGTCTCTAAAACAAGCAAAAACCAAAAACCACAAAAACAAAAAACAACAAACTCACACAAAGGACACAAAATTCTGTCTATACCATCATTTAAAAAGAAAAAAGTCTGGAAAGATATATGCCAAAATGTTAGTTGCCTCAGGGTGATAAGTTTTGTGAGTGGTTTTTTACCTGCGCTCCTTTACACATTTTTCTGTTTTCTTCAGTAATCATGTATGGCTTATATAAACCAAAGCAAATTAAGGTAAGAGAAAAAGCCAACAGTATTAGAGAGGTCTCGTCTCATCTCCCTTCTCCTGCCCCAGCAAGGCTAGGTATGTTTTGAACCTGGAGCATGATGCCGGTGGTGCCAAGCCCTAGGGAAAGGGATACGTCCACTCCATACCTTGCTAAGAAGATCAATGCAATCAGCAGGCAAAGAATGAGGGCACCGCCAATGGTGCCCACGACAGTGAGGATCAGCTGAAATTCTGAAAAGGAAAAGCAAAGAGTAGGCACAGCCTTCCACAAGCAGCCCTCACTGTCTACTGCACAGGTTCCCAGAGGTTCCCAGAGGTTCCTGGCTGTGAAGACCATCAGGCTGTGGTCCCCGCCCCCACCCGGGCCAGCTTGGCTGGCAGGTTGGGGGGGAGGTACTGTGTCTTCAGAACCCAATCGGAAGAGGCTGCCTTGCCAGATAAAAGACCATAAACAACAGAGGAGGCCATGATGGGGGGGCGGGGGGCAGAGCCTTCCTGGGCTCCGCGGGAGATGAGACATTAACCGACGGGCGCATCCCATCCTAACCTCTGCTGCCTCTGCCTGCCCACCACGTCTGACCTTGCAGATAAGCAGGGGGAACAAGGCTGGAGTTAAATTTGTCACTAACAGAGGCTTCATAGAATCAGTGAGGGGAGAGCTCGTGGCGACCATTCTCTTCCTCTAGATCTGCTCTGGCTGGCACTACCGAGCACGGCAAATGAGGCTATGAGCTGCCTGTGCGGACAGCACCCACGGCAGATTTCAAACACGCAGGATGAAAGAAAACAAACCTAAAATTTCTCATGAAAAACACTTATTGATGACATGTTGAAAAATACTTTTGATATATGAAGTGAAATAAAATGTTATTAAAATCAAGTTCACTTACTTCTCTTTAATAAATGTAGTTAGAATTTTTAAGATTTGAAATTAAATATGAAGCTCCATTACATTTCTGTTGGACGGTGCTGTTCTAGAACCCTCTGTCTCAGATTTCTGCTTCATGACTGCCATATATGCCACCTCCAACCTGGATTCATAGGGGCATAGACCATGTTTGGAAAGGGACCTCAAAGGTCATTTTGGTTGACCTCAAAGGTCAACCTCTCATTTTGTAGGTGTGCATGCCGAAAGCCCGGAAGGAAGGAAAAACTTAGCAAATCCAGCCTTGCAACAAAATACAATAGAAAGTGAGAGCATTTTTCATCACTAACTTTGTGGCTGGCTGAGAGGCCAAGAGTAATGTTTCCTTCACCTTGGATGACCAGTCTTTATGTAAAATTTGAAATGTAATATAATTAAAAATATAAAGTTAGTATTGTCCCAATCTGGTGGGGGTGGGGTGTGGGAGAGAATGAAAGCAACTGAGCTTGCAACAACACATCACAAGCTAGTAAATAGCTCGGGGACTGAAAGACTGGAATATTTAAACGGTTTTTAGTTCTGCTCTCCCATGACCACACACATTTTTGGAATATACTGGTCTTTTATCCTTGCTAGTGACAGAAAATAAACAGAATGTTAGGACACCCAGAGCCCACCTCTTGGGCTGGGTTCTGTTATTTTCTATAACGGGGTGCTGCTGCCCAGGATCTGAAGGCAGGCATGGGACGGCATGACCCAGAACGCAAACTGCAGGCAGATTGTCTCGCTCTTTATGAAGGGAGCCAGAGACTTTGGAGTCCTGGGCAGAATTTTGAACGTGTTCCCTATTTCTCAGAAGCTTAATAACAAAGCAGAACTTTTATACTCACTGTCTTCACAGTTGACTCCGCTGTAGCCAAAAGCACACCTAAAATACAATGATGGAAACCATGGTACAGTCTCTGCAGGGCTCACGTCAGAGTTCCCACCCAACCACCATGTATTCCTTTCCATCTGCCTTTCATTCTACCCGCCCCCTTTCTCCTTCTCCTCTTTCTCTTTTCTTCCTTATGCTCCCATTCTTCCAGGTGAGCACCTTCCATGGAGCTCTGGAAGGCTGAAGAGGGGACACAATTCCAATTGGTCCCTTTTCCTACTGACTGAACCCTCCACCCTCTGAGCTCCAGGAAGATTCAGCAATTCAAACTCAGCTGAAGCCCAGAGGCATGGAGCATTGCAGCGGGGCGGCGGCGGGGCTGGGGGGGGTGCTCGGCTGCAAGGCCCCATGGCTCTGCCACCTAATTGCTGCCCTGTAAGCTGGGGCTTTATTTACATTCTCTGAGCTTCACATTGCTCCCTGGCAAATGGGGAATGAATTCATTCCTAACAGTGTTGCGGTTCCTAGCACACAGAGAATGTTCAAGAACCATCAATGCTGATGACGATATGATGGAGCTCTTATACCTACCAACGTATGGCAGCATTCCGACATCCTGACCCTAAACCCATGCATTCGTCTATACGTTCTATCCTTTGTGGCTAGCTCCCACTGTGGTAAGATGAAAAAGGAGCGACTTCTTACTCTTGACAGATCCCAGGAACATATTCCTTGTAGCCTGACAGGCACACACACTCAGGGCTCCCGCTTTTCTCATTCACTAAGCATTGCATATTGTTGTCTGCGTTGCAGGTGTCAGGACACTTTATAGCAGAAGCTTCAAAAGAAAGTTTCTGAGTTATTTTCAAAAACAACCCCTTCAAGCGCAAAGTGATATGTCACAGAACACAATTTTTTAATATTGCTTTTTCTGGGTAAAGTGGGGTGCTGCCTGGCTGTGCGCACAGCACGCTTCCTGTGAAGATGCACATGGGCTGCCTTGCCAGGTTCGTGTGTCTAAAGCCCAAACCCACACCCCTCAGACTCTGGAATGCACATGGAAACATGAGCAGTAAAGCTTGTATTTTGCAAATGAAAAAGGAGAGAAGGTAGGCGTTGTGAAGAACACTTAACAAGCAAGTGGAACACTCACCAACACACATAGGGACCTGGGGGTTAGGTCTTTCCATCCCCTGCTTGCATTTACACAGCAAACCATTGCTACAGTCGTCTTGCTTATTTTCCTCTTCACAACCGTAATAATCACACAGAGTTTGAACTGGGAGGCACAGACAATTCAGAAATATGGTCAGTGAGACAACAGGGAGAGGAATTAGGTCAGTGCGATAAATAAATGGTTGTTGTTTCAGGCCACTGAGCTTGGGGGTGGTTCGTAACACAGCAAAAGTGAATTGTTCCAGCTGTGCTGGGGGGGCTGGTGGGTCAGCCTAAAGGGGAAACAGGGCAAGGAAGGCTTTCTGGGATCATTTGGAAGCTGCAGCTTCCAACGACGAAGGCTGTATACAGCCTTCTTGTTTCTCCTTTCTTCCTACCTTCCCACCTTCCAAAGAGAGGAGCAAACTGGTCAGTGTGATGACCTGGTGGGGAGAGGGGGACGGCTGGAAAGGAGTAGAACCAAGCAAGGGGGGAGAGGGAGGAAGAACGCCTGGTTCACTGGAACTGGGCCCATCTGTGGATTCAAGTGTCCTGCTTTTCTTGCCCCCTTTTCAGAGAATGGAAATGTTTACAAAAAGGTAGGTCTCCAAGGAAACCTTGAAGAGAAGTATCGAATGCTTACAATTATATCTTGTGATGCCAGCCAAGTTGTTTTGAATTGCTTTTTTAATTGATTCAGCCACAGTCTTCTCAGTTTCTTTTGTAGTTTCTGTGAAGATGTTTAAGACCTCTACCACAACAACATTGTCACCAGCACGCACTTCTGATCTTGCTGAAGAGGTGCTAAAAATGAAATGAATCCATCACTTGATGAACTGAACCGAAGGATCCACAGACTGGTCTTCAGAACCTCCCAGACTCCTGTCTCCTCTAGTCTTGACCCACTGTCCTATACCCACAACTGGAGCCCAAATACGGGGGACCTGGAGGTGCAGTAAGATGGCGGTTTATAGGCCCAGAGATCTAGCTCGCTTCGATGTGTGCTCAGAGGCCATCTCTAGCTAAACAATGTCCTGTTGGAGGATTTTTTTAAAGATTTTATTTATTTATTTAGTTGACAGAGAGAGAGAGAAAGAGAGTGAGTGAGAGAGGGAACACCAGCAGGGGGAGTGGGAGAGGGAGAAGCAGGCTTCCCGCGGAGCAGGGAGCCCGATGCGGGGCTCGAGCCCAGGACCCCGGGATCATGACCTGAGCTGAAGGCAGATGCCTAACTGACTGAGCCACCCAGGCGCCCCGCCCTCTTTTTTTTTTTTTTTTTAGTTTTTAAATTTTTATTTATTTGACAGAGAGAGAGAGATAGCAAGAGCAGGAACACAAGCAGGGGGAGTGAGAGAGGGAGAAGCAGGCTTCCCGCCAAGCAGGGAGCCCGATGTGGGGCTCGATCCCAGGACCCTGGGATCATGACCTGAGCCGAAGGCAACCGCTCAACCAACTGAGCCACCCAGGTGCCCCCCTGTTGGAGGATATTGAGAAAAGTTGTGGACAATCCTTTTTAGGAGCTAGAAGCCTGGAGCTAACCAGTAGAACAGGTAACATCTGAAACTAACTTGTCCCTCTCCATAGAAAATCAAGAGTAGTACACGTGATACCCTGAAATAAGGAGGGTGGGGTGTAGGGAGCATGAGCAAAGACCACCATATCAGAGCCCCAGAAACTGAGTGCCTGTGCCCCAAGAACCGCTGTGCCAAGTTCTACTTCTTCCACGGTCCAAGAGGAATCAAGTGATACAACCACTAAAAGAGACAGAGAGGGGAGAAAGGACTTCAAAAACTCCTTCCCTCTCCAACCTCTGCCTGTGTGTTTTCAAGACTCATGACTTTTGAAGAAACATCAGAAGCTTGGAACATAGCCCAACCCATTTAGGAAATGTTTACAGCCATGTAAGTTCTTCAGAACTATCGAGAAAATCCAAAATCCAAAATCAGAACCAAATTCTGTTTTTTAGGAACGGTCACCACAAAAGGAGTGCAAAAAACAAAATGGGCTTCTGATTCTAGCTGAAAATGATTCATTCATGGTAGGATTTAGAGGTGGCCATAGAATGTACAGGGCAGTGAGCAAAGGATATTTGATACAAGTCATTTGATAAAGAGATCAGTTGAAAAGTGAGCAGAAATCTCTGGTATCATTTTGCAGCAGGGTCTAGGAAAGAAAAGCCATCCACAATTCATTCATTCAAAGAACCTACTAGCGCACACTCCAAAGGGGGGGCAAAAAAATATTTAGGGGGCAAAATATTACAATGAAAGGAACAATGGAACCACTGCATATTTAATAACAGAACAGCATAGCATAAGTGGTCAGAGCAGTAGCCTTGGCACTAAGAGGCCTGAGATCTAGACCCAAGATGGCCACCAACTTTTGTGGCCCAAGACCAGTCACAGTTTCCCCGAGCCTGAGTCTCCTCCTCTTTCCGAAGAGAGATTTGCAAGAGAAATTCTGAAGATCCTTCCAATTCCAACGTGGGTGCTGTAGAGAAAGAGCTCAGGGAGCAGAGCCGAAAAAAATGCCTTTCTAGGTGAGAGAGGGCCCTGCACACCCCCTCAGGTGCCGGAGCTAGTTCGTCTCTGGAACACTGAGCTCACAAGTAGAAGGTTGCCTCCAAACGCTCCTGGGTCCCTTTCAGTAAGTCATTAAAAAGCAAACATATGCCACAGTATCGGGGAACCCCCCCCTCCCCGGGACCAGCTCTCCATCACACTTGCAGGGTTCCCTGTTCCGGAAGGGACACAGACAGGAACTGCCACGTGTTGAAATCGACTATGCGCCAGTCACTCTGTGCGGGTCGTCTTTCACATGGTATCCCACTTACTCCTCCCGCGGTTCCAGGAAGTCAATCAGATCATCCCAGAAATGCAGACGACATAACAAAGCTTTAGAGAGGTTGAAACACCTGCCCAGTCACACAGCAAGAAAGTGCCAAGGCCAGGAATCAAGTACAGATGTGGCTGACGCCACCACAGCTCACTGATCCTGTCTTTATCCAGTCATCCCTGATGCACGAACTCCCTGCTGTCCATTAAACCAAACCTAAAACATGCCCTGAAACAATGCAGAGCACTTAGCAGCAGTCTGCTGCGTTCCTACATCCAGCTTCAGGGCCTCTGCTGCTGCTTGCCCTTGCCATGTGAGCCCCGTGCCTCCCATTAGGCCGCCTGCTGCCCTCCTGGCTACCAACCACAGTGGCCCCTTGTTTACTGCCAAGCTCAAAACTCACCACTTTTATAGGACGTCTCCTCTGAATTTGTATGTATCAAATATGTATACTGTGTTTTATTTCACAAAGGATTTGACAAAGCTCATAAAGACAGATGCAACAGTAAAACCATAAAACCTAACTACATTAGGGCTGCTTTTTCTGTATAACTCCATTCATCTTAGAACATTCTTTCCCTGGCCTGCAGCGCATGTGTATTAATGTGCTTCAGAGAAGGCCACCATGGAATCAGTAACTTCTTGAGACTCCTCTACCTCTTTGGGTCCCCAAATAAGCATCCAACACCAGTCATTGCATATCATTCAATAACAGCTTGTTCTTCCTGCAGAAGAGAGCTCACTACTGGCCCTTCAGTAGCCAGGTATGTGACTGGGATATTCCTGTCTCCCTCACTCCCCGCCGCCCCTTGAGAAAAGAGATGACCATGAGCCATTCATTCTCTCCCTGCCCTCTGGAAGGCACATTCTAGGGGTTGACCAGGTGTGGTTTTAGCCAAGGAATGAAACCAAACAAACTGGTCAGGGCGATACCCTGGGACATGTGTACAAGTTGCTGAGGAGCCAATCACAGACAGCATCTTGCTGCCCCAAGCGCCTGCCTGCCCAACCAGGCCAGGGTCAGTGTGACATGGAAAGCAGAGCCCTCTCCAGCACTCAGACTGACCACCTCTTCTTGTGACTTGCCACTGGAGGGACTTAGATAACTCAAGAGAAGACCAGAAGTCAGGCAAACGGACGCCTGCCTCCGAAGTATCCCATCGGTCCATAGCAAACTTACCTTACATTATTAATTACAGTCTGTCCGTAATCAGAATTGCCAAATGTGTTCTTAAACTGTGGAGGAGGAGAACAGATTTAATAACTACCACAAAGAGGGGGAAAATGTGATACTGTATCTGAGTTTTCACACAAACACATCTCTAACCTCATTTGTATAAATACACATGGCTCATCACAGCAATTTGTCCCCATTTGATTTTTGTTCTAAAATAATACGATTCTGCTATGTCAGAGTTATCCAGGAAAAAGACCTAGGGCACCCAGCCAAACCAATGATCATACTTTTAAAAATAAGGTGACTAATTTACTCAGTTTGTGTTTTCAAGGTACCCGTGAAGTTTTGCATATTTGGTTTGCACGTTTGTTAGGCTTCTCTATAAGCATGCTTCATGCACTCATCAATTCTCCCAGGGAACACTTATTTACTTGCCCACCCTGCCAAGCGTCATGCCAGAAACAAATGGCGGAGACATGCAGGTCCTGCCCTGTGATGAGTCAGGGGACTACACTGTGAAGTGGGGAGAGGTGAGCACCATAGGGCAACACAATCTACCACAGAAATTCAAAGACGCTCTCTTCCAGTTGCCGAGAACCAGGGAGGGCTTCATAAAGGAGACCACCCTTAAAGCCGTTTTGGAATCGGTGCCAGGATGGGGAGAGGAGGAAGGAGCCTATACATGAATGTTCAGAAGCAGCGTGCCTCAGAAGGGAGCAGGCTGAACTGGGAAGAATATCTGAAGTCAAATTTCTCCATGTCAGCTTTTGCAGAGTGGCTTTGAACTTCACCTTTCTCCTCGGAAACCTGGAGAAAGCAGTAAATTCCTACCGCATAGGGCTATAATGTTATCAAATGAGATGGAATATATGACACATGGCTTTGGGAGCTGGACGGGGCCCCAGCACGGGTACAACTTACTAGGCAGAATTGTGTTGAGAGCAGACGACTCTAGATACTTGCAGAGAAGGGGCCAGAGATAAAGCTGGAACCTCTGGCAGGGGTGAGGGTCCCAGTGAGGATGTAAGTTCATTGATTCCAAGAATGGGGGTTTGTTTTCTCTTTCTGATGACATACCCTCCCCCACCCCACCCCATAGCACTCAATACAGGGCAATCCCCAGGAAATGTTCTACAAACACTGGCTGACTGATGACTGAATGAATTAAATGCGAAAGACATGACCTTGGACATGTCTTCCCCTCTGTGGGCCCCAACCTCCGTATTTTATTATATGAGCATTGAACTGGGTTGGTGCAACCTTTTCATAATCCATGACTTTTTATTATTTTTCTCCTCATGGCGACCCAATGCTTTAAAGATCATGGCAACCAATGTCATTTTAGAAAAGATGTTATTTCTCTTTTATTCTAGTCAAATTCAAATAAATTTGATGCTCTAATTCATCTGGGTAGCCTTATATCCAGAATACATCTACATGCCTTTTAATTCTTTTAAATACTAGAAATAGCTGGTATTTCTGTAAACCATCAGAGGCCTGGGAGTTCACTTAGGAACAAGTTCACTGGATGACCTCCAAGGTCCCTCTCATTTACCCACTGACCATTGCCCATTTAATTTTCTTATTCCCAAAGAAGAGAGATTATAAAATTAGCATCTGGCATAGGAGATTTTTTTTTTTTAATCTTCCAGGTCACCCTTTGAGGATGTTGGGATATACATATCTCAAACTGAAGGGCTGTTAAGTCTGGACAAGAAGGCAGGAGCCATCCAAACAGGCCTGCCGGGCCTCTACTGCACAACACAGCCTGCAGGCGAGAAGGAGTTTGAGAAGCAGCTTTGTGGTCAGGCAGGTCTGAGTTCAAATCCCCACCTCCTCATTCATCAGCTGGGTGACCTGCAGTCAGTTACTTAACCTTCCTGATCCTCGGTAGCCTCATCAGCAAAACAGCACCATAGTACCATCTTCCCCACTGGGCTGTTTTCAGAATTTGAAATATTACACATAAAATGCCAGGCACATACGCAACAGGGAAACTCCAAATCCCTCTGCAGACTGTCCATTTGGATCCAGCTGGGTAGAAAATGGACCCTGCGAGACGTCGCAGGGCCTGAGCTAGAACTGTCCCGGCTACAAAGTCTGCTAAGTGGACCTTGAAGAAAGGTAATTTTTTTGTTTTTTTTGGGGGGGGGAGTCTCTGGGATGTCGCAAAAGAGTTCTGGCATATCCCTTTCAGAAGAAAAGCTTCCCGGAAATTAGAAGAATGCTCTATCCCCTCCCTGGTCCCTCTGAAATTATCAAGACCTGACTGAGATCAAGTCTTAAAATTGGTACCTGAATGGCACAGGCGTGTAGGAGGAGGGGTCTTTTGGACCCCCATACCCAAAGCAAGCTTGGGGGGATGTAGTGGTCACTGCTCAGTAAAGCCACGAGAGAACGGAGGGGTTCCCTGGAAATAGGAGCACACTGATATTGCTATCCTCAATGTACTGAGTATCATCCAAGTGGGCCAACTGGAATGTAAGTCCAGGATAAGAGGTAAGTCTTGGTCAGCTGGCCCATCATGTTTAGGCTGTATGACAAGGGGCCAAGGCCAAGGCCGGGCTACTAAAGCCATGGTTTTTATCCTAGCAGCACCAGGCACGGGCTGTTTGGTCATGAGCACTAGCACTCCCTATGCTATCTGTAAATCGTTCAGACAATGATGCTTTATGTTCTACTAATTCTGCTAGCAAAACTCTTTTGTAATAAAATAATTCTGAATTGGAAGATACAGTCTTCAATATCTTCTTTAGTTCTTAAAAGTGTTTCTACACTTAGGGTTCTAAGACATATTTACAGTCTACTGTTTTTTCCCTTTAAAATTAAACTTCCAGAAACATTGGCTGTATGTCCTCTATAAGCTCTTTCAGATCTAACATCTGTGGTTCCAGAATGGAGATTTCCATCCCTTTTCATGTTGACACATTCACTCACAATAATCAAAATGAAATGAAGCTATTGTTCATTTTGACATTTTTAATAGTGGAGAAAAGTAACAGATATTAAAAAAAAAACAGACTGGTATAGAAATGTATGCAAATTTGATTGTAAAAAGGAAAAAAAATCTTTTCAATTCTATGAAAATAATTTTATTTTAAAACATCATATATTTATGTGTCCATTTAAAAATATTGTAGGGACACTTGGGTGGTTCAGTCGGTTAAACGTCCGACCCTTGATTTCAGCTCAGGTCTTGACCTCAGGGTCGTGAGTTCAAGCCCCGCATTGGGCTCCACGCAGGGCATGGCTACTTAAAAAAAAAATTCTAATAGCTTCTGTATCAGTGGGTATGGCATGGCTGGAGCAAGCTTCTAAAGGTCCTCTGCCATGCTGGGTGTTACCCATGTAGGTGCAGGATCATGGGGAGGCCCAAGGGTCCCAGAGGAGGGGCCTGGGCAACCAAGCACCAGGGGGGTTAGGACAACTACAATTTACCAACGAGTAAGGATGCCTTTCACTATTTTAGCAACTGGAATAGCTGAACCAGTGTGTACTACCTGAACACCAGTCCTCCATGCTGCAAGAAAGTGTTAGAATGAAGAACACTTATATAGGAAGAAAGGTTAGAAAATACTTACAAAATCAGTAATTTGAATATGTAGTTTTTGATAGGCCATAGAATTTTTATCTCCCCAATCAGATGTTTCTGATACTTTTACTGTAATACTTCCAGGGAATAACTTTCCTGAAATTTAAGCAGAATCTTTTTATAATATTTAGTGTGAAGAGGGGTAATTTCCATTTTGTTTAAAATATAGATTATTCTTAAAAATTCTGCACATTATATGATGATATTATAGGAAGTCTGGAAAGATGAAAAATGTGACCCAAAATTCCATCCAACCCAACGCAACCATTTTTGTTTTGGTGTATTTCTCCTAATTCTTTTCTTCCATGCATAGTTTACACTGTCATAATTCCATGAGTCTTCTTTATCTTTGTTACATAATAAGCATTTTTCCAAATAATTACCTAGTCTTCATACCTATCTATCTATTTGAGTAGGCTCCACGCCCAGTGTGGGACTTGAATTCATGACCCTGAGATCAAGAATTGCATCTCTACCGACTGAGCCAGCCGGGCGTCCTCCCCATAACTATTTTTTTTTAATAACTATGACTTTTAGAGGCTGCATAATACTCTATGAAAAATGTGTTATCTTCATTGATAGCCATTTTTTGGTTTTCATGGTCTTGATTATTTAAAAGGAAAAAAGTTTGCAGCAAACATCTTTATGCACAAAACTTTCTATTATTTGGGGTCATTTACTTAGATCCCAGAAATGAGATTATTAGTGCTGAAATATGAACACCTGTTGGGCTTTTGGAATATCCCTGTGGTCCCTCTAGTTTCCACTGAGATGAAGCAGGAGCCTTTGTTGCCTATAAATTACCATCTACCTCTACTAAACCAACTGAGCCACCCAGGTGCCCCAAATCCTCTACCTTTACCATTCTGGGGGCCCTTTTTTGACATTACTTTGCATTTTCTATTCTACTTTAGGTCTGAAATGCAGCTCTGCAGGGTTCATCCCTTGTAACTCACCTTTTTTGCATGTGGAAGAGTTATAGTAATATCCTAATAAACACAGGCAAAAATGGGTATCATTCAGGATAACACATGAAGAACCACCTTTACAGGGATCTCCTTGGCAAGGATTTCTGGGAACTGAGAGAGAGGAAAAAGAGATTAAAAATCCACAGAATGACAACAGATGACACCGAGAAACATACTTTAAAATCTTCATGCCTCCCTCCTGGGCACGTTCTAGTCTTTGGTTGAAGAGCATACACCTCTATACGGAGTCTGTTGTGGAAATTCTGGAGCCAGGTGCTTATCAACAGTAAAGGCAGAGGTTGGTGGGTAAGAGTCTGCTCAGAGAGACAGCAGTCTCCTAATTCCATCTTCAGCATCTTTGGATCACAAGGATCCTTGAGAACCTTGATATCTGGTCCTCTAACACCAGGTAGGGCTTCCCAGTACCATTTGAAAGAGAGCGTCCTATTTTCTAGGGAATTATGAGTAACTGTCTTATAGGGACAGGCAGGAAGCCCCCAAAAGAAAGGAGGTATTTTTGGGGGGTGGGAGGGATGGGGTGGCTGGGTGATAGACATTGGGGAGGGTATGTGCTATGGCGAGCGCTGTGAATTGTGCAAGACTGTTGAATCACAGATCTGTACTTCTGAAACAAATAATGCAACATATGTTAAGAAAAAAGAAAAAGAAGAAGATAGCAGGAGGGGAAGAATGAAGGGGAGTAAGTCAGAGGGGGAGACGAACCATGAGAGACGATGGACTCTGAAAAACAAACTGAGGGTTCTAGAGGGGAGGTGGGTAGGGGGATGGGTTAGCTTGGTGATGGGTATTAAAGAGGGCACGTACTGCATGGAGCACTGGGTGTTATGCACAAACAATGAATCATGGAACACTACATCAAAAACTAATGATGTAATATATGGTGATTAACATAACAATAAAAAAATTAAAAAAAAAAGAAAGGAGGTATTTTATTTGGGTTAGCATGCAAGGCATACAGATACAAGAAGGAAAGGGGTGGTAAGGGGACCCTGCAGATAGAAAGTTCGCAGAGGAAGTGATGAGGGCACACTCCACTCCCTGGCTTTCTGAATGGCTGACTTGAATGGATGGTGAGAATTATATTGCAATGGTTTCTCCATCACTGGTTGGTGCTCTCAGACCGGGCATCTTTCCTCTCTCTGGAGAAGTGGTAGGAATGGGGAGTGGAGTTAGATCAAAGGAAAATGGTTGTCTTGGCTGGCCATTTTCTCCATCTCTGTCAAATGAAATGATTCTGGGCTTTGATTTCAGAAAAGATGGAGTGACGGATCAAGAGATATTAATGTTCTTATGAACCCATAGGTAGAAATTGTTGATTTTTTAAAAAGCTATATATAAAGTACAATGTGTCGAGCATCCTCCCTTTTGTGATAAAAGGAGGATAATATGCACAAACATACAAATATGTATGCTTGTATTTGCACACATTCCTCTGGAAATAGATATGAGAAACTGGCTACAGAAGTTGCCTCTGGGGAAGGGAACAGGAGTCTGGGTCCTAGGGGTAGGATAGGAGGGAGATTTAGTGCTTACTCCATATACTTTTGCCCTGTTTAAGTTTCTTTCCTTCCATAACTGTGGGTCTAATGTACTTTTATTTTAAAAAAAGTCAAAAATAAAATAGTGCTGATGAATGCTCATACTGGTGGGAAAGCAAAATGGTACGGCCACCCTGGAAGACAGTCTGGCAGTTTCTTACAAAACTACACATACTCTTACCATAGGATCCAGCAAGCACACTCCTTGGTATTTACCCAAAGGAGTTGAAAACATGTCCATTCAAAACCTGCACAGGAATATTTATGGCAGCTTTATTCGTAATTGCCAAAACTTAGAAGCAATCAAGATGTTCTTCAGGTGATATGGATAAAACCATCATACATTCAGACAGTGGATTATTATTCAGAGTTAAAAAGAAATGAGCCATCAAGCCATGAAAAGATATGGAGGAAACTTAAACGTATATACTGAGTGAAAGGAGCCAACCTGGAAGGACTAACATATGAGTCCAACTACATGACATTCTGGAAAGACAAAACCATGGTAATAGTGAAAAATCACTGGTTGCCAGGGGTGGGGGGCGGGGTAGGGGATGAATAAGCAGAGCACAGTCAATTGGTAGAGCAGTGAAAGTGTTCTATGATACCGTATGATGGATGCATGTCATTATACATTTGTCCAAACCCACAGAATGTGCAGCAGCAACAGGGAGCCTTAGCGTAGCCTGTGGACCTTGGGTGATGATGCTGTGTCGGTGAAGGTTCATCAGTTGTCACAATGTACCCTCTGGTGAGGGATGTTGATAATGCGCGAGGCTAGCCTCAGCTGTAAGTAAGCAAGGATGGTTTCGAAAATCCCAGGGAAGACATTGAGTCAACTCTACTCAGGATACACCAGACAAGTAACTCCTGGTAGGCTTTCTTTCCGGCAATGAAGGACAGACCTGCCCGCTGGTTCTGTGTGCCAGGAATAAAGGCACAAGATAGTACAGCTGGAAGGGATTTTGGCGCCTATTTAGTTCAGTCATGTTATTACAGCCGGGGAAGGTGAAGCCAAGAGAGAAGTGATTTGCCCCCTCCCCACAGTGAGCTAGTGGTCGGGCCAGAACACAAAGCGGCTGCCTTGCTCTGGGAGAATGTCTGGGGAAGCAGGAATGGCTTAGGAAAGCTCTCTTTCCTGACTCCAGTAGAGCTGGCTGTGCAGCCGGGCCCCCGGTGGCCTAGCCTTCAGAACAGGCCCTTCAAACATGAAAGCAGACTGGGACCCAGGTGTTCTGAACAGGCTCTGGCTCCACTTGTTTAATCATCCATCTCTTAGATCTGTCAAAGAACATGGGGGGAGACCAGAGGAAGTCAGTGCAGGGGGACATCCGCTTGCTCTTTGACCTTGGGCAAGTTGCTACCCTCGCTGGGCCTCAGTCTCCCTGAAAATGACAGGGTTTATGTAGACCCTTCAAGCCTAGATCTGAGGATTATTTTAGACCAGGGGTTGGGAAACTATGACTCAAATCTGGCTAGTCTTCAGTTTTTGTAAATAGCGTTTCACTGGTATACCGCCAGGCTCATGCCTGTGTATCTTGGCCATGACTGCTTTCATGTTAAAATGGCAGAGGGGAGTAGTCACAACAGAATCCCTATTGTGGTCCGCAAAACCTAAAATATTTATTAGTTTGCCTTTACTGATAAAGTTGGCTGACCCTTATTCCAGACCAAACTTTGGGAAATGAGGCAAGTGGTTTCAGTAATTTTGGCTTGAGGTCAATTGCCATCTCTTAGTATTCCCGAAACATCTGTCCTTTGGACAACGGCCCCAGTCCATGTCGAGGACTGTTTGAGCACTGCTGTTGTTTGGCTCTTTATCCCTCAGGCTCAAATTCCATGAATTAACTAAAACTCCAAACTGTGATCGGCCACCACCGTAATGTCCCATTTTTCACTAACATTGTTAAGGAGTCAGGGCAGAACTGACTCCTTCCTTAGGTAGATCAGGGAGCTAGACCAGTGGGGCTGGTGAGACAGCACTTGTTTGGACCTCAGAGAAGCTGAAACGATTTCTAAAAATCCCCTGGAGAGGTAGCTGGCATGATGTCCACGTTCATAAAGACATTCCACATCTAGCTGTAAGTGGCACAGGTGGGAAAGAAAGGAGAGCAGAATGAAACCGTGGGTTATCTTTTAGGGTCTCTGCCATCACTACTAGCCTTTGTGACTCAGAGTTTTTAATTCCAGGGGTTCATGGTCAAAGAAACCTTGGGTGTTTTGATACCCACTTCCTTCCGCCCGCAGAACACACCTACCACCCTCCACAATGCCGACCCCACAAGTAAGCAGTCTTTGAGGGAAGGAATGGCTCTTACCTGTGGGACCGGGCTTTGTGGTGCTGATCTTGGATGAAGTGACGCTGCCAGAAGTCACTGGAGTAACAGCCTCTGAGGAATTATTTTGCGTGATTGGGGTGACGGTCGATCCATTATTGTTCATTTGTGTTGTTGGAGAAGGAGCAGTTGAGCTTGAGTTACCACTTTCAGGTGAGGTCTTAGTGGTGGTGTTACCTATAGGTGATGTTTTTGCAACTGTGCTTGATTTACTTTCTGTAGATGTGACAGTGGAGGCTGGAACTGTACCTGATACAGAAACTGAAGTAGGTGGAGTTGGTGGGTTGGGAGCAGAAGTAGGTGGAGTTGGTGGGTTGGGAGTAGAAGTAGGTGGAGTTG